GGAGGAAGGTAAACAGGAAGTTAAACGGGAGGAAGGTAAACAGGTTATGACAGAATGACCTGACAAAGACAGAAGGACAGACTAAACATCCAGAACTGATTGGACGGACAGGTCACAGGTGAAACCAATCAGGCCAATTACAAGAGACAAAGAACAGAAGCAAAAAGCCAAGTGACACACAAGGAAAGGCCATTTCAAAATAAAACAGGAAGTAACTGAAAAGGAAAATAAGTAAATTTATTTTTAGGCAGAAAGTTTTGATATTTCAACAATAAAACAGCTCCAGTAGTATAATATAAGAAAATTATAATGTTGAGAAAACATTATTTTAAATCACACTTTGAGAACAAAGTGAGTTTTTTTTTACTTTTCTTCTCGGTGGTTTGATTTCTGGACACAGCGAAGCAGCTCCAAGCGTTTTGTCTGTAGTTTCTCTGAATAAATATCCAAGTGAAAGTTGTTCTGGCCCGCAGGCCCGGCTGCCGTCACTGAGCTGACCCTAAAGTCCAACAGCACCAGCAGCCTCACCTTCACCTGGGCTCCACCTGAAGGAGAGTTCCAGCTCTACGAGCTCTTCCTCTACAGCACCGATGATTCGCTGCAGGAGCGACGTGGCCTTCAGCCCGGCAGCCTCCAGTGCAGCTTCCAGGGCCTGCAACCTGGAACCGCCTACAGGCTGGTGGTTCTGATTCGCAGTGGAGACCAGACCAACCAGACCTCCACGTGGGCCCGGACAGGTAAGGCCTAATGCAATACTTAAAGCAAGTGTTAGATTATTCCCACAGCTTGGACCTACAGGCTGAATCCATACATTTCCCTCCTCAGTACCAGCAGCTGTGGCGTCTCTGCAGCTTCAGACTGGGAACCAGTCTGATGTTCTGGTGGTGAACTGGGATCGCGGTCACGGCGACCTGAGCGGATATCTGCTGACACTCTACAACCCCAACGGCTCCCAGCAGGCCGAGTGGCAGCTGGGCTCCGATGCCACGCAGTTCGTCTTCTCAGGACTTGTACCGGGCCGACAGTACCGAGCCGAGGTCCTGAGTCTGAGCGGGGAGCTCCGCAACCGGGCCAGCACCATGGGTCGGACTGGTGAGAAACTGTCCACAGATGTTACAAACACTGGAACAAATGGAGGCTCCACACAGTGTAGATGTTGAACGATGTAGAAGTTTACAGAGAGTTTGACCTGCTTCTTTAACTGAAAGAAAACATGCAGGTGTGTTTGAAGGGAAGGTTTTCTTCTTTAAAAATCACCACAATGACACATTTATTAGGCAGAAACTGTGTAAACAGAAGAAAAATCAGCAGATTTTCCTCTTTCAGTTGGTCCTTGAATGTATCGTCTGTTACATGTGGTTCTGATTGAAAAATTTACCAAATCTGAGCTTCAAATTGTAATATTTCATCAAAAACACTTTTTCCCTCTTATAATAAATGTGATCTCCTCGTTCTGCAGATGTTGAACTACGTCCATGTCTCCAGATGTTTCCTCTCTGCTCTGCTCATCAACCATAGAAAGATGTTCCACCATCAGATGTAGAAAGATTTTCCACCATCAGATGTAGAAAGATTTTCCACCATCATGTAGAAAGATTTTCCACCATCAGTAGAAAGATGTTCCACCATCAGATGTAGACAGATTTTCCACCATCAGTAGAAAGATGTTCCACCATCAGTAGAAAGATGTTCCACCATGTCTGAAGACACGCTGTTGTATCGTTGTGCCCATCGTGTGTTTGTTCTGACGCCTTTGGCGCTGAGTTTAAATTGTTGGTCCCTCTGGTGGCTGCATGCTGGGCGTCTTTGGGCCGAGCAGTTCGACTTCTGTTTAGCCGTGGGTTTGTATGTTCTGTAGCCTCTCCGGTTAACTTTCCTGGTATGTGTGACTCAGTTCTGGTTAGATCCCTGCCCCAAAAACATCTAGTCTCTTGTGATTAGGTCTGCTGTGGTTTTTGTGATTTGCAGTAGTCGCTCTGTGTCCCTTCTGGGCTTCCCGTAGTTCCTCTGTATAGTCTGGTTCCCTGTAGTGTAGTTCCCTGCTTTGCCTGATGGTGTCGCTCCCATTCCCCCGATCCTTTGTATGGTTGTGTTTGTTGGCTGTATTGTACATGACCTGTTAAATCTTGGTTCTGTGTGTCTGTCTGCACTCAGGTCTCTGTATGAACATGGTTTTAATGAGACGCATAGAATGAAGTGATTTTGAACAATTATGAGGATTTAAGGCTCACATTTGGTTGACGTTACAGTTGTTACGTTAAAATTCTGTTTGTACAGTTCATTCAACATTTAGTGTTTCCGCTGCTTTTATTTTGACGCTGTCAGTTCATTTGTACAGTTTAAGGAATTAGATGAAGCTAAAAGGCGTTAAGACGAGAAACCGAATAAAATGTGAACATGTCTCCGCCCTCAGCTCCGAGACCTCCCAGCTCCTTCCTGTTCGGCGGTGTCACCAACACCTCAGTGGAGGTCACTTGGTCCGGTCCGGTAGACTCAGACTACGACGACTTTGAGCTGCGCTGGACTCCGGAGGACCGACTGTCCATCATCAACCCGTATCACAGTCGCACTGCTGGCAGCCGCATCCTGAGGGGTTTGTTCCCCGGACGCCTCTACACCTTCAGGCTGCGCACCGTCAGTGGGGCACCGGGGGCCGCCGAGGCCCCACCCACCTACAGCACGGCCATCCAGAGCAGCATCCGCACCAGTGAGTGATGCATAAACCGATGGAGGGACAGATATCTATTTCATTTAACACAGTCACAGTATTAATCTGGTATTTTTATATTTCACTAACATTTGTTTTCTTTAATTTTTAAAAAGTTTCAACAGAAATCATTGGAGCTGTAATTTACAATCAGAAAGATTCCTCCTCCTACAATATGGAGTAATACAAATCATTAAGTCATTTTTATAAGATATTTCATGAATAACGCTCACCTGGCTGAGCGGCAACCCATAAACAGGCTGGAGTGGGTTTGCTGCACGTCCTCCCCACCGTCCTGCCCCGCTCTCTCACTATCCTGAACAATAAAAGCAAATAAGAATAATAATTTAAAAAAGAAAAAAGCTGGAATATTCTGAGAAAAAAGTAAAACAATATATATCTTTAGAAAATAAGCAGTTATATTTCAAATGAAAACATCAGTGAGTTAAAGGACCACAGAAGAAAAAGCACATTTTGATTTAACAACTGATGCAACAAATCAACCACAGCCAGATAAATCATCCATCCATCCATCCATCCATTGTCTTCCGCTTATCCGGGGTCAGGTCGCGGGGACAGTAGGCGGACCCAGACCTCCCTCCCCCGGCGACGCTTTCCAGCTCTGCCTGGGGGATCCTGAGGCGTTCCCAGGCCAGCCGAGAGATATAATCTCTCCAGCGGGTCCTGGGTCTGCCCCAGGGTCTCCTCCCAGGTGGACGAGTTCGGAAAACCTCCAGAGGAAGCCTTCCCGGAAGCATCCGAACCAGATGTCCAAACCACCTCAACTGGCTCCTTTCGACGCGAAGGAACAGCGGCTGAGCCCAGCCACCCTGCGGAGGAATCTCATTTCGGCCGCTTGTATCCGCGATCTCGTTCTTTCGGTCACGACCCAAAGCTCGTGACCATAGGTGAGGGTTGGGACGTAGATGGACTGGTATATCGAGAGCTTTGCCTTGTGGCTCAGCTCTCTCTTCACCACGACAGTCCGGTACAGCGCCCGCATTACTGCTGACGCCGCACCGAGCTGCCTGTCCATGTCACGCTCCATTTTCCCATCACTCGTGAACAAGATCCCGAGATACTTAAACTCCCTCGCTTGAGGAAGCAACTCCCCCCCATCCGGAGGTGGCAGTCCACCGGTTTCCGGCAGAAAACCATGGCCTCGGACTTGGAGGCACTGATCCACATCCCTGCCCCTTCACACTCGGCTGCAAACCGCTCCAGTGAGTGCTGAAGGTCACGGTCTGATGGAGCCAACAGTACCACGTTGTCTGCAAAAAGCAGAGGCAAGATCCTGAGGTCCCCAAACCGGACACCCTCCTCTCCCTGACTGCACCTTGAGATCCTGTCCATGAAAACCACAAACAGGGTCGGTGACAAGGGGCAGCCCTGGTGGAGTCCAACACCCACTGGGAACGTGTCCGACTTACTGCAGAGTATGCGGACATAGCTCGCACTTTGGTTGTACAGGGACCGTATGGCTCGGACCAGCGAGCCTGGTACCCCATACTCCCTCAGTACCCCCCACAGAGTTCCTCGGTGGACACGGTCATAGGCCTTCTCCAGATCCACAAAGCACATGTGGACTGGCAGGTTGAGGGGTAAAGAGCTGGTCCACTGTTCCACGACCAGGACGGAATCCGCATTGCTCCTCCTGAATCCGAGGTTCGACAATCGACCGAAGCCTCCTTTCCAGCACTCTAGAGTAAACTTTCCCGGGGAGGCTGAGAAGTGTGATGCCCCAGTAATTGGAACACACTCTCTGATCCCCCTTTTTAAAAATGGGAACCACCACCCCGGTCTGCCACTCCACAGGCACTGTACCGGATGCCCACGCGACATTGAAGAGACGTGTCAGCCATGACAGTCCGACAATGTCCAGAGCCTTCAGCATCTCAGGGCGAATCTCGTCCACACCTGGCACTTTGCCACCAGGTAGCTTCTTAACTACCTCGGTGACCTCTACCACGTATGTGGACGTAGAAGTCCCCGAGTCTTCAGGCTCTGCCCCTTCATCAGAGGACGTGTTTACCGTGTTCAGGAGTTCCTCGAAGTGCTCCTTCCACCGCTCGACGAGGTCCCCAGTCTGGGTCAGCAGTTCTCCTCCCCGACTGTACACAGCCTGGGAGAATCCCTGCCTCCCCTTTCTGAGGTGTCGGACGGATTGCCAGAACTTCTTCAGGGCCGACCGAAAGTCCTTCTCCATAGCCTCCCCGAACTCCTCCCACACCCGAGTTTTAGCTTCCACAACCGCCGCAGCTGCAGCCCTTTTGGCCAGCCAGTACCTGCCTGCTGCCTCAGGAGCTCCCCGAGCCAACCAGGCCCGAAAGGTCTCCTTCTTCAGCCAGACGGCTTCCCTCACCGCCGGTGTCCACCAGCGGGTTTTGGGGTTGCCGCCGTGACAGGTACCAGTGACCTTTTGGCCACAGCTCCTAACGGCTGCTTCTGCAATGGAGGCTTTGAACATGGCCCACTCTGACTCCATGTCCCCAACCTCCCCCGGGATGCAGGAGAAACTCTTCCGGAGGTGGCAATTGAAAATCCCACGGACAGGGGCCTCTGCCAGACGTTCCCAGTTCAGCCACACTACGCGTTTGGGTTTGCCAGGTCTGTCCGGCAGCCTTCCCCGCCATCGGATCCAACTCACCACCAGGTGGTGATCAGTTGACAGCTCTGCTCCTCTCTTCACCCAAGTGTCCAAAACATACGGCCGCAGATCTGATGATACGACTACGAAGTTGATCATCAACCTTTGGCCTAAGGTACTCTGGTACCACGTACACTTATGAGTAACCTTTTGTTTGAACATGGTGTTTGTTTTGGCCAATCCGTGGCTAGTACAGAAGTCTAAAAACAAAACACCGTTCGGGTTCAGATCAGGCAGGCTGTTCCTCCCAATCACGCCCCTCCAGGTTTCACCGTCATTGCCCGCGTGAGCATTGAAGTCCCCCAGGAGAACGATGGAGTCCCCAGGCAGCACCCCTTCCAGGACACCACCCAGTGACTCCAAGAAGGCCAAATACTCCGAACTGCTGTTCGGTGCATAAGCACAAACAACAGTCAGAGTTTTCCCCTCTGCAACACGCAGTCGCAGAGAGGCGACCCTCTCGCTCTCCGGGGAGAACTCCAACAAGGCAGCGCTCAGCCAGGGGCTTGTGAGTATCCCCACATTCTCCCGGCGCCTCTCACCGTGAGCAACTCCGGAAAAGGAGAGTGTCCAACCCCTCTCCAGGAGTTTGGTTCCGGAGCCCTTGCTGTGCGTGGAGGTGAGCCCGACTATATCTAGCCGGTAACGCTCCACCTCCCGCACCAGCTCAGGCTCCTTCCCCACCAGTGAGGTGACATTCCATGTCCCCAGAGCTAGTCTACGCCACCAGGGGGCGGTATGCCAGGATGCCCACTCCTGCCTACCACCCGGTGGGCATAGCACCTGACCCCGATCCTCTTCCCCAAGGGTGGTGGGTCCCCGGGGAAGTGGCCCCGTGTAGCTTCTTCAGGCTGTGCCCGACCGAGCCCCACGGGGCCCCAAGGCTCGGCCACCAGACGCTCCCCGGCGAGCTCCCCCCCCAAGCCTGGCTCCAGGGGGGTGCCCTGGTTTCCCTCTTCCGGGCGAGGTGGCTACAGTCCTTTTACTGTTCTTCATTAGGGTCTTCTGAATCGCTCTTTGTCTGGTCCCTCCCCCAGAACCAATTTGCCTTGGGAGACCCTACCAGTGGCTAATACCCTGGAGAACATAGCTCCCAGAATCACAGGGACACTCAAACCCCTCCACTGCGGTAAGGTGGCGATTCATCGGGGGGGCCAGATAAATCAATAAAAGACATTTAAACAAACACAGAAAGCCTCAACAACTAAAGGTTCAAAGCAGAGGCAGGTAAACAGGTAAACATGTGACAGAGCAGACAGGTGTCCAGCAGGGGGCAGAAGGTCGACAATACAGGACGAACTGAGGGCTGAATTATCAAGCCAGACTAGTGGGACATCAGGTATGTTGATCCTAAAGTTCTCAGTTTCATGGAGGTGTCTCTCTTTTCACCTGCTAGGTCTCCATGGTAACTGATCCTGTGGAGCTAGATCTCCATGGTAACTGATGCTGCGGAGCTAGGTCTCCATGGTAACTGATGCTGTGGAGCTAGGTCTCCATGGTAACTGATGCTGTGGAGCTAGGTCCCCATGGTAACTGATGCTGTGGAGCTAGGTCTCCATGGTAACTGAT